GCGGTAAAGAATGTAGCAGGAGGGAACCCTGTGGTTGGGGTAATTTTTATTCAACTTCCGGATGTCCAGCATCCACAGGGATTGGTAGATTCCAGATAAATGTAGTTTCTGCTTGCTTGAGAGTTACTATTAAAAACAAGTTTAACAAACGCTATACCCCATACTCTGCCATACCATAACATAAACTCTGTGTTGACTTTATATTAATATTGAAAATAAAGTAATCAAAAGCAAATTGAGACAAATAGACACATTCAGTATTGCTGCTGTAATGCTGTGTGCACTGTGACTGCCTGACAGTGGGACTGGAGATCTATAATATACTGTGCTGTGATCCATGAGCAGTACAGTACTGTACTGGGAGTGATCATTAAGGGGCACTTGTTCACAGACACTCAGTCCCAGAATAATAGAGTGGCAATCACACTCTTCGGCCCTGCTTCTCTTCCCTCCCTTGCTGCAGAGCCCTCTCTCCCTCTCTTACAAGGTCGCAGATTGGCAGAACTAAGTTTGGCCATGATGGATTGACTAAGGTATTTCCCCTATTTTTAGCAGAATAAAGATGTGCAAATGCCAAACCCAAGCTCTAAAGCTGGCCATACACCTATAGGTTTTCCATAGATTTTTTTTCAATCAGCCTATGGTCAGATGGAACAAGTGCTACAGAATCCTTCATCTACGCTAAACTGTGTGGATGGAGGAATCTCCATTTGGGTCAAGCTTCAGTATCTTGCTAGTCTGCCCCACTGGCTCTCACAATACCTGAACAATGCCTGCATCCAATCAGATTGTTCTGGTATATCGACAGCCAGCAGAGCCGACTAGTAAGATACTAACTAAAGCTTGGCCTAGCGGGAGATTCCTCCATCCACACAGTTTAGCGTAGATGGAGGAATCTGTTGAACTTTTTCCATCTGCCCATAGGCTGATATAGAATAAAATCTATGGAAAATCTATAGGTGTATGACCAGCTTTAGTCTTGATAGTCTAAATAATAATTGTGTCTTTCTCAGTAGGTTCTTTAAGCCGGCATTCGTATTGGCGTTATTTAGCCACCCTTTCCTGAGATGCTGTCAGTACTGCAGGGGTGTCTAGAGTTGTATCCAAACCCGTTATAGATAAGTGAATTGCACAGAGACCAGCTAGTAGTGCTGGAGGGTAAGACAGAGCTCTCTCTGTGGTTACATGCTCTGTCTTTCAGTGAGTGACAGTTCTACATTGCATATCAGTACCATGCAGGATATATAAGAGGAAAATATTTCTGACAAAGGTTCTTGTGCACTACTTATGCTCTTCTGGCATAATTTGGGATAATTGAAAGTCACAAACCCATGGAATTCAGACTAAACATATGAAGAGAAAAATGCATTAGCAGGGTTATTTGCATTGAAAATTGCATTTTCTTAAAAATGATCAGCAGATGTAAATATATCGTCATCTGAAATTATATTCATATCTTTTTTTTTTTTAATTCTTTATTTTTCAGTTTTACATTAGTATGAACAGTCTAAATGTACAAACAAAAGAGTTGAGCAGTGCAATACAATACATCGGAACACAGCAGTAACACGCAGAGTGTCAATAGGATTGGACCATTCCACTGGTGTTATATAGTAGCTAGTAAATAGAGATCGTGCACAAGCGCCCCTATCCTTAGGTGTGGTGCCACCACTATGCTGTGGAAAGTTTCATGCTAGCTATGACGTACACAGATGTATAGAGTAAATAGATACATGCTATGTCGGCATCTCGGTGCAGTCAGCTCAAGGAGACAGGAGGAGTAAGAAAGACGACAGAGAAGGATTCTGGAGTTAAGGCAGGAGGAGAGCAGGGAAGGTGTGGTCACAGTAAGGGTTGGCGTAGAAGTATCACGGAATAGGCATTTGGTCGGGCCCCGGCAGGTGAGAGGATAGCGCTGTATCGGTCCCCTGGGGTCAATGCGGCAAGCTAAGTTTAAGGATTCCTGGTTTCGTATCGTATCCCCCCGGTACAGTACCATGTCTCATACTACCGTGAGTGCACCGTACTCCGGGGAGTAAAGGTACTTCAGCCAATAAAACCATGTTTTACGAAATTTGCCGTCTGTGTGGTGAAGTGCCGCGGTTAGCTCCTCCATAACTCGTGTTTCGTCCACTTTACGTAGCGGTATACAAGCCCTGGCAGCATTTACCAGGTGGATGAGCAGAGAGGCGCGGTACTTGGTCCTAGACAGGGAGGATCTGTGGAGCAACAGGGCGGCTGGGTCCCCATCCAGGGACACTCCCGTCAGGTGTTTTATAATCCTTATGACTGCCTCCCAATAGTCCCTAAGGCTAGGGCATGACCAAAAAGTGTGGAGGATAGTTCCCTCCGCCTGACCACATCTCCAGCATGTTGGCGGAGTTTGGGGAAACATTTTGTGCAGTCTAGAGGGTACGAAGTACCATCTGGTCAGTATCTTGTACCCAGTTTCCTGGGTAGCAGTATATTCATATCTTGACTTTTCTTTCACAATTGAAGTTTGACCCTGCTCCCCACCCATCAAGTCTCTGTATTGGTCCTTTTTTGGGCAACTTCACTGATCAATAAGGGACTTCACTGATATCCACTATTTTGGAAAATAAAGAGACGGTAGCAGTCTTTATGTCTGTATTCCCTAATTGTTTAAACATGCAGCTTTTATTAAAAATATCCTTTTTTTTTTCATTTTGTTATCCTTTTTCATCATTTGCTCAGTTTTGAGTTGCCCGAGTTTAAGGCAGAGGACAGCAATTGTGCCATATCCTACTGCAGCCCATCAGAATACTGCTAATTTGATTTGTAGTGATGAGTTACTGCAGCTTATACGTCACTTTATGTTTTATTAAATGAGCTTGTATAGTAGATAATGTCATGAACAAACATGGTCTGTCTTCGCTTTCTACAAACTCTTTAAGTGTCTCACAGTTTTAATTTCGTTAATAGGTAAAAGAACCTCAGCACATTCATCCTGTTTTCTGAAAATCTTTCTTACATCTGTTTCATCGGTTAATAGTAAACTGCAAAGTGAATTTAAATTGCTAATGAGGAAAATATGGAGTATTAATTAAGTACCACAGCACTTCATGTACTTAGTATTAAATATTCAAGTGCTGCTGCATAGCCTTTCAAGTATTAATAAGTAAAAATGCTGCAGGATGTTCCGAGTCACAGACTGGAATGCCATAGCACAGGTCTAGTCATAAATTCTAGAATATCGTAGAGCATTGATATTCCATAGCATACAGGGCTCCTAATGGAAATAAGGTGTAATATACAGCAGCCCGATGCCTAGTTTATCAATGAGTATACTAGCTCCCCATCTCCATTGCAGTCCGCTTTCTGCCTTATTTCTTTAACAGTTTGCTTGCTCAATTGCTGATTATCTCAGGTGCCCTTCCTTTGTACTCCTGTAGAGGGCAGATTGAGGCTATAGCATTGTAGCTTAGCTGGTGACCCGGGGTCTTTTTTTTTTCCAATAATCGTTAGCACAGTTTGTGATCATGTAATCACATCATCAGAAAAATGTCTGTTGCCTTAGTAGGGCTATAAAACACGGCTGGATATAAATATAATATTGTCTTCATGCACACAGTTTTAGTCTTTATGGTTGCATCTTTCCTTTAGTTTCATTTTATGAATCAAAGTATATCTACACACAAAAATGAAAATGTGACATATTGCAGATTACCATTTCCTAAAGCTGGCCATAGCACCGTCCCTTGTTTCTCATTCAGCACCGTAGCCTGAACAAGAAAGAGGCACTTGTTTCCTCTACCCATGTTAAATTACTACCCAGCAGGCTATTGTATACTGACAGTGCTAGGTGTGCCGCTGTAGCAGTGACTGTAGCTGATTGGGGGGGATCGCTAAGGGGGCTACATACTGTTCCAATTGCAAGAGTCAGCAGGACTCGACTGAAATTTGAGCAGTGTATGGTCAGCTTAAGTGTGGTAGCTGTATTGGTTTCCTTTTTTTTTTGGTCAGGCTAACTATGTTTTCTGCACTTACAGAAAGATATCCGTTGATCCCACCAGTATTGCAGTATTCTTCTTGTGTACTGAGCTGAAATCTCAAACAATGTTATAAGCCTTCCCAGTTATCTTCTGAAAAATAACCCCCCTATTTAATTGAGACAAGGAGAGGAGGTGTTTTAGTCCAAATCTAGATAGCCACTTAGGGTGACGATGATGATTCTCCGTGGATACAGTATAGTGAGTGAGCATTACTGGCAAGATCATAAGGTGAAAATAAAGGGTAAAAGAGTCTGAAAAGAAGAAAACAATTGCAGCCACCGCATTTACAGTGTGGCAAATAATTATTTGATCCCTTGCAGATTTTAGCCTCAATCTAACAGCTGTGGCCTCTGATGCTTGTTTACATCCAGTGCTGCAAGTCTTTCTGTCATGGCCGTGCCTACAGCTTCTTCAGGGCTGTGTCCTGCAGCCCCTGAAACAAAGGATGAAGGTGGGAGACGTTCCCATAGACGTATATGGGTGTTTTAATTCACAGGCACTGCCAGAATGTACACACACACTGGAGACCACTGCTGTCCAATAGAAGTATGCATCTGGGGTATACGTTAGGTGGTGTATCTCTTTAATATGGGACCATGTTTAATAATGATGCCGGCATTCCTACATCCCACAGCAATATATTTGGGGGTGCTACCATTAAGAGCTTTAACCTCTAATAAGTAATGCAACTAGGTTTTATTACACAACTCTTTCTAGGGAAAAAAAACACTGAAGTGTTGTCAAAGATGGTAAAGTCGAAGGATGCTATATTTAGGTCTTTTACACATCAGTAAGCAAAGCAGGAAACTGCAGCACCGTGCTATTCTCTCCAAGAAAGAGTATGGAACAGCATATTGGAGGAAGCAGTCATCAACTGCAAAGGGCAGCATAGAAATTTATTGACTGATTGCTAGGGGAATCAGCCTGGCTGCAACATTCGCAAGGGTCTGTAATGTTATTTCAAACCGAAAAAATTTAACATATTGCAGCTTACCAGTAATTACAGTGAGGAAATTAATTATTTGATCCCCTGCAGATTTTGTAAGTTTGCCCACTTACAAAGAAATGAACGGTCTATAATTTCTATCATAGGTGTATGATAGGTGTTTGTTGCCTTGGCGGTATGTTTTGGGTCATTGTCTCGCTGAAAGACCTATCCACGACCCATCTTCAATGTTCTGGCTGAGAGAAGGAGATTCTCATCCTAGATTTTACAATATATGGCCCTGTCCATTGGCCCCACAATGCGGCAAAGTCAGCCTGTACCTTTAGAAGAGGAACAAAGCAAAATGTTTCCACCTCAGTCGGGGTCATGGTCAGCATTTTTCTTCCTCCAAACACGGCGAGTCGAGTTAATGCCAAAGAGCTAAATTTTGGTTTCATCTGATCCTTCTCGGAATCATTTAGATGTTCATTAGCAAACTTCAGAGGGGCCTCTACATGTGCGTTCTTGAGGAGGGGGACCTTGCGGGTGCTGCAGGATCTCAATCCATGGCGTTGTATTGTGTTACCAATGGTTTGTTTGGTGACTGTGGTCCCAACTGCCTTGAGATCATTCAAAAGCTCTTCCCGTGCAGTTCTGGGGTGATCCCTCACTTTTCTCATGATCATCCTTACCCCATGAGGCGAAATCTTACATGGAGCTCCAGACGGAGGGTGATTGGTTATTTTGTATTCCTTCCATTTGCGAATAATCAATCCAACAGTTGTTTCCTTCTCCCCAAGCTTCTTGCTGATAGTGTTGTAGCCCATTCCAGCCTTGTGCAGGTCTACAATCTTGTCCCTAACGTCCTTTGACTGCTTTTTGGTCTTGCCCATGGTGGTGAGGTTTGAATGGAAAAAGAGATTCTGTAGACAGGTGTCTTTTATATACATATCGAGTTGTTGTTAGGAGCACCTTTTTAAATTGACAGGACTAATCTATGTACCACATAGCCAGTCTGTGGGAGCCAGAATTATTTTTGGTTGCTAGGGGATCAAATACTTATTTTACTCGCTGAACTTCAACTCAATTTATAACATTTGTATCATGTGTTTTTTCTGGATTTTTGGTTGATATTCTGTCTCGATCCTTTAAAATTCACATTTGATAAAAAAATTATAGACCTTGCATTTCTTTGTAAGTGGGCAAACTTAAAAAATCTGCAGGGGATCAAATAATTAATTTCCTCACTGTAAGTACTGGTAAGCTGCAATATGTTACATTTTTGTTTTTCGGTTTGAAATAACATTACAGGCCCTTGTGAATGTTGCAGCCAGGCTGATTCCCATAGCAATCAGTCAATACATTTCTATGCTGCCCTTTGCAGTTGATGACTGCTTCCTCCAATATGCTGTTCCATACTCTTTCTTGGAGAGAATAGCACGGTGCTGCAGTTTCCTGCTTTGCTTACTGATGTGTAAAAGACCTAAATATAGCATCCTTCGACTTTACCATAATTAACAACACTTCCGTGATTTTTTCCCCTAGAAAGAGTTGTGTAATAAAACCTAGTTGCATTACTTATTAGAGGTTAAAGCTCTTAATGGTAGCACCCCCAAATATATTGCTGTGGGATGCAGGAATGCCGAGCATCATTATTAAAGATGGTTCCATATTAAAGTGATACACCACCGAACCTACACCCCAGATGCATACTTCTATTGGACGGCAGTGGTCTCCAGTGTTTGTGTACATTCTGGCCGTGCCTGAGAATTAACACACCCATTTACGTCAATGGGAACGTCTCCCACCTTCATCCTTTGTTTCAGGGGCTGCAGGGCACAGCCTTAAAGAAGTTGTAGGCATGGCCATGACAAAGACTTGCAGCACTGGATGCAAACAAGCATCAGAG